GTCTCATTGGAATTGCCAATTAATGCGAAATTTTCTTATCTCTGGGCTTTATCGCCGTTGCAGTACTTGTCCTGCTAGGCTTTTCATCCGCTATCGATTAGTCCGCCGATGAATGAGTCAAGACTGCGGTTCTAACCAGCAATGAATGACATCAGCAACCACTCCATTGACGTCTCGCACTTGAAACATGCTCGTTTCCTTTTTAAAATTCTATTTTCATCCACGTCTCTTATAAAATCAAATATTTTCAGGTATTCTCTGGAACAATATTTTTTATGGTGGGTCAAATGAAAAGGGTTAAATATCTCTAAATAAGACAGTGGTCGTTATGGGAATATCAAGTCTCCTTTGTCTCTATTTGAACGTTTTGATAAATATTCTGGTGACTCGGTTACGGGTTCTAACTTATGCCGTATCATATTTACGATCGGACGCCAGGTTGCGTCGGTGCTGGAGCATGAAGAATTAAAGAAAAGTGCTCTGCCAGCTTTGGCCGCCTGGACTGGCAAATTCTCAGGACGTCCCTGTCTCATTCATTATGCATTCGGCCTGCCCAAAGTGGAATTAGTCGATTCAAATTACAAGCTTGGCAGTTCCGACAAGTGCCGAGTTGCGCACCAGGCGAAAGGCCTTATCTACTTCCATATTAATTAATCAGAAATATTTTCCAACGCAAAAACTCCCGAAAGTCAAATCTCGTACGAATCTCATACAAAAGATTTAGGCCATCTCCATTCCTGCGTGACCACAGAAATCAAAACACAATAAAAGGAAATTAATTACTAATTTTAACAGGATTGATCTTGGAAATCAAATCAACGTTTTGAATGAGGAACTGCGGATGAAAACCCTTAGCACACATATTCGGTTGCAGCCTCATTTGCAAAGTCCACTTGAGCGACGACCAGGTGTTGGATTTCAAGCGAGTCTTTTTATACTTTTTTCGAATGAGCGCAGCTTCAGTTTTTAGCACGACTTTCTTTCTTCCCTTTCTTTCGCCCTAGGACGGAGGCAGAGTGGGCGCTCGAGCAGAAACTCCGTGTTCGATGGGGGAAAATTGAAAGAATCGATCGATCCCGCACGTTGTTTAGTAGGGCGCCGTGTGCGGCATTCATTCAACGGCGGCATCACGAAAGATGAGAAGAGGACAAGGAGTGATGTAATTGCATCCGACACTGACTGACCACTGCAGCAGATGAGGATCAAAGAACGTCGACCGCAACAAGATCATGGACCCTGTGTTCTTGATTGCGGCAATTATTGATATAGAAAATGTGGAAGAAATTGAAATTTACTTGTTTAGGAGGAGCCCAAAAAATGTAGAAAACTAGTTTGGAATTTAACTTCAAATTATAGGAGGTAAAAATTAATAATTTGATACTTTTAATACTAATAAGTATAAATAATAGGTGAGAATAAAAGTTTGATCAGAATTAAAATTTATAAAATTTAATTGAAATAAAAATTAAATCACTTTCCAATACAAATTGATTAATTTAATAGAATAATTATGAGATATATCGGATATATCAAATTTCACTTCTTGCAGGCATATGAATTGCATTGGTAACTTTTGCCAGTTTGAATAATTCGCTTTTTGCAGTGGCACAAGACGTAAGCCTCAGCAGCTGCGTTTGGTTTCAAGAGGACGGATTAAACAATGCAGGCAGGCGCAGCGATTGCGTCCTTTCTGAACACACCTGCCCACGTGAGATAATTGCCAGGCCGCTTAATTAATCAAAACCGCCAGGCAATGAAGTAACGAATCGCCGACGAAAGAGTGCGGCTAATTAGTAGCTTCCTGCTTCCTTGTGTTCGTTTGTGTTGTTTTGATCCAAGCGCCGTCACCGCGCGTTTTCTCGCAAAGGCTATTCGCGTTACGTGTAATATTGGTCGCTGCCACTTTGCGGTTTTCACGAATCTTGACACAGAAAGCAAACAAACATTGCTATTGTAAAACTCCGGAATGCCAAGAGTGACTTTCAGTCGAAGCGATTATTGTATTACTTTCATATGAACAATAATTCAATTTTTCCATTATTTGTAAAATTATTAATAATGGAATTTGTTTAATTTTAAATAAATTTCATTATTAATAATTTCCTTGTAAATATTTAGAAAAAATGTATAATAAAACAAATTTCAAAGAGAGGATCATTTTTTATAGCAAAATTTGAAATCAGCTTGTAAAATGAATTAAACGATATTTCATTAAAACATTTAAATTCATTTTTACAATTGAATACTGCTTGAAAGCAGTTAAGGACGGTAAGTAAATTTTATATATTTTGTAAGTCATATACTCTAGAACAATTGGCATCTTTTTAATAAAAATGATTCCTGCAAGTCGGTGGTTTGGATTGAGAGGAAAATCATTAGTAATTTTCGATTCTGGTTTCTATTTCTGTTCAATGCTGTGTAACAATTTTCATTCCTTTGTCTACAAATAATCTCAAATCTACGTTTTCCTTTGTTGCTCATTGACTGCTGCTGGAATTTATTCATGCAGAGCCAAATTTCAATTTCCCGTCCGCCTTAATTTTCCTGCAAGCAAAGTGTGTGTACAATATTAAGTTGTCACCGCTTATCTTGACGAATTACACGAAATCTATGAATATTTTATCGGAGCGCAGGCATAGACACACACACACACACACACACACACACACACATGTGTGCGCTCGCCAATCGATTGCGCGCGGCCAACAGATAAAAGGAGAAAAACTGTGGCACTCCACGATTCCATAATGGAAAAACGCCGCCGTTTCATTCTGGGAAACAATAAAGGCAAAGGTCGCTCTTGCCAGCTCCAGCGACCACGTATATTTATAGCAAACAAGTTCGATTAATTAATCTGACAGCAACAACAAGCAGACAATTTTTTTTAAACAAATCCCAACCATTGATCTCGTGAGGCACGTGATTCTGCTGCTCAACTAAAGTGTAATGAACAGATTTTACAATCAACGCCTCTTTCTAAGTAAAAATTATTATAAATAACTGCCGCATAGAGAAAGAGCAAAATAAATTTTTGCACCAGTTTGAGCAAAGTCATTAAACAACAGGTAAAATAAATAATAACTACACTCAACTCCGTTACTTACTCCCTACTTGAAAGGGTAGTAGAAGAGGGAGATTATTACTTCCAAGTAAACTTCATGACATTTTAATTAAATGTCTCGAATAAAGGTTATTAAAAAATCTAAATTGCAGTAATTCCTAAGATCATATAAAAATGTAAATTTAATTAAACACCGCAATCGGCTAGTTAAATTTTTTATCTTGTTATTCACAGAGATAAGTGAACTCATTTTTTTCCGTGATGAAATTCATAAACTAATTTGCTTGCTTTTCGCCCGAAACCGAGTTTCAAACGTTCGGTTTGCAAGGCCGGAGCGGTCGGTCCATCGAAACCCGATTTGCCAAACCAAAATTAGCAAGGCGGCCTTGTTGTCCGCGACCGGCGCCGCGCACATGTGGGTCTGCGTGCAGCCGAAAGATTCGTCCGACGGTCGGTCGGTTTGGCTGGAGAGTGCGAAGAAAACTTGCGTCACATACTGCGGCGCATTTGAAGCAGCAGCCTCAGCTTTCTGCCAAACTCGCCTACCACCCTGGCCCGAGTGTGTTTACATTCGAGTGCGCCCATCTTTGCGCGATTAGGATCGTAAACATAATGATGACAGGCATGAACCGCGTGCCAAGAGCAACGCCGACGCTATTGATCGATTGGCTCCGTTGTCAACCTTCCAGTCGAAGGAATAATATCGAAAGAAAGCAGCAAGGGTCGCATGCATTGCCAAAGAGGTGCACTTGTTGGCCAAAGTTTCACCATGTAAAAGCCGGATTGCGTAAGATCCTCAACAAATACATGTTAGGAGGTTGGATAAAATAATCAAGTTCGAAAATTACAATTCACAAAAAAAAATAACATTTAATATAAAATATTTAATTGCAGTTGTTGTTAAACTTTAAGAAGCCAAAATAAGGCTACTTTAATTTCATTTTAATCAAAGAGCCTAATTATTACATGCTCGCCTTACTAGGTTTTGCACTAAAATAAATAGCAAGGCCAATCAATTGAATTTATTTGATCTGATGAATTTTTACCTCCCATGGATACATTTCGGCATAAACAACAACAACTGTTTTGTTCCATATTTAATAATTGACTAAAGCTAGATTTTTCGTGAAAAATATAAGCAAAAGATGATAAATAAATTAAGTTATTCTCCATAGATTGATTTCTTACCATTCCTTCAAATACTGGGAGTTCTTTATGATATTTGAACGTGTGTCTAATGGAATGGCATATTATTTTCCCTGTGATCTGCTGCTTAACAATTTAATAGTATTACAAATTTCAAACAATAACAAATTTCAATTACCTTAACCAAACTTATATGTTTCATATCGGCCTGATTTCAGCTGTTAGTTTTAATCCTTTCACCGTCCCAAAATCTTTCACACATTTTCTTTTTACCAATTCTGATGAATTCAAAGAGAAATAAACAAATTAGCTGTAATAAAGACACTTTTGAGCGAACTGAAAGTTTGTTTGACGGAACTTTTAAATAAATAAGGCAAATTAATCTAGACATGATGAAATTTGAGTCATTTTAAGTAATTAGGCTCCAATCATATATGGAATAAAATTTATTCAATGAATTATTATCATAATTTTTTTAATCATAATGCATTTCCTCGCAACATCCTCCGAAAAACCGGCAGAAAATTTTTAATATTTAAGAACATAATTCAGAAATGAATTTTGAATAGATTTGAATGTGGAAATAATATCAAAACAAGGTGGATATCGGCCCGAGCGAGGAATTTGTCAGCCGGTGCGTGCTCTACATTCGACGGTCGGCGGCCCATGTGGGCGTAGCTGCCGTTCTGGCAGCGGGGATCGATGCTGGGCCGAAAGTGGCTGGAAAAGTGGCGCTTCGGGCACCAAATAGGCAAAGAATCTGGGAAATAAATTAATAAAGCGTTGAACGCACCTTTGAGCAGGGGCAGCTGCTGGAGTTCAACGTCGCCCGAGTTGCGGTACCGGGACGAACCCTGCGACTTTTTCTGCTTCTTCTTGAGGGAGCGCTTGGCGAACGGGTCTATCCGGTCTACGAATGCCGTCGTCGTTGAAGACATTATGGGTGCTGTCTCGGATTCGGCACTGGCTTCAGACAGATTCGGTGTTCAGCATGGTACACTCACACCATCCTAGGGACGCACGCATTTGAAATTTTTATGCTCCGCGATTCACTGCTCGCCTCGATCGGCCCGCCTCTCTGCATTCAAGATTCAAGTCTGGGTGGATTGTGCGGCCGACGAGGCCGTCTGCTGATCGGCGGCGGTGACGAATTCGGCGGTGCTCGCGCGACTCAGCTGCTGAAAGACATGGCGGCGGCTGCAGCTCTCAACCCGAGTTGTGGCTTCAAACGTCTTCGTTTTCGCACCTCCCGCAATGAATGGGGCGCGGTGACGCGACTCAATGCATTTTCAGCCCGCACCACGCGACGATCGGTTCGCTTCCCGCCGCACACGAATCGCACCAAACTTTTATTTACTTACTGCACGAATTGTATTATATCAACCCGCGGAAATAATAACCTTGCGGCTCAAAATAGGACCACGGATCGCTAGTCCGTGGAAAATCTCGCGAGATGCGGCGAGAAACAAGACACTGCTCACTACTTCCTGCGAATCGCCACCAGATGCCACCCTTGCACAAGAAACACGGGTCACGTGACCCAAAAATCAATATTTCCTATTGCTGCCAACATAAACTAGTTTTGATATCTCTTCAGTTGTTCAATTACTTGATTATTTCTTCCGTCAAGTTCCTTGAAGCACTTAATTTTTGTTAATTAATTAAATATAATTAAAAAAGTCACTTCATTTAGTATAAATGATGGAAAAAATATTCATAAAATTGTTGATTTTTCAGGTTCTCTCAATTTTAAGTTGGTACTTGCATAGACGTATTTCGGTGCCACTTTCAAATTTTAAATCCTTAGATTCCCGTGGCGAATAAGATTTTCTCCTAATTTAAATATAAAATTTGTTCGCTATCGATCCGCTCCTATTGACTGCAGTCAAGTCTCCAATCTAGTCCTTCGCTGAGATGATAATCAGATGTATTTTAACCGTCTGCCTCCTCTATGCGGCACTTTTGACCTTTGCCGAGGCATTTGAAAATGGTTTGTTTTTGTTTGGCATTTTCATACTTTTTCCTGATTTATTACTTTTTCGTAGAAGCAGTGCAGACTCTGCTAAATAACAGGTGTCCGGGAATTTATTGTGGACGTCAGCAACTGCCTGATGGAAACTGGAGCCAGTGCGGCGCCTGTCCGAGAGGCTTCAGGGCAAACACCTCTTCGTCTGCATGTGTACCCTGTAACAGCAACCCAACGCTGTACGACTGGATGTATTTAGGATTCATGGCGCTGCTCCCTTTGACCCTGCACTGGTACTACATAGACTCCTACTTGCAGTCAAGGTGCGTCTCTTTTTAAAAGAAAATTTTGTTACACTTTTAATTGGAACAATTTTTCAGACTTTTCATCCACCAGCAAAATGACGGGCCGAGTTTCACAAAGGTGTCCCTTTCATTTCACGCAGCAGCCTTTGTTGAAGTTTTGCTGTCTGTGATATTGACGCTACTACTGATGGAGCCAAAGGGCTCTTTAAATGTCCATTCGTGTCCGTCGTTTCACCTCTCGGATTGGTATACATTGCTGCACAACCCCAGCCCTGACTATAGATACACATTGCATTGCACTCAAGAGGCTGCTTATCCATTGTAAGGTCATTTCAATTTTTTAAATGTTTAATTAAAAATTAATTTATCAGGTACTCGATGGTGTTTGTATTTTATGCTCTCTGCGTGGTAGTCATGATGTCGATCCGGCCCTTCCTCGTGTGGTTCGTCATTCCCTCCCCTAGCAAAAGGTCAAAGCCAACTTTGCCGCTGCCGCTTCCAAGCCATGGAAAAGCCACCATTTACTCAGCACTCTACTTTCTGCCCATTCTTGCACTACTTCATGCTCTCCTGGCTGGCTTAATTTGTAAGTTTTTTTTTTAATTACCAATATTCATAATACTCTGAGATATTTTCTGGATTTTAGACTATTCCTTTCCCCACGTTATGATAGTCGTTTCTCTCATCTCCAGCGCAGTTCATTTTGCTTGCAAAGAGGATCAGGTGTGGCATTAAAAAATCAATACTTTAATTCAGTTTTAATATTTTTTTTTTACAGTCGGCAAAAAAGCTCTTTAAGTCGACGGTATCGAACATCCGGAACATGGTCATCCTATTAGGTCACTGGCTCTTGCACGCTTACGGAATTTCCTGCATCATTCCAGTGAGCGAAGTGGCAACGCACTGGCCTGTGTTTCTGCTTGTGCCCCTGCCCGCTCTCTTCTACATCCTCACAGCCAAGTTCACGGACCCAAAAAAAGTGCACAGTGACTGATCCAGGTGGGAGCCGGCAAGGTCTGTTTCCATGAGACACAATGAGGCTTGCTGGTCGGGTGAGCCTCAGTTGGTGTCTGTGTCAGTGTTCTAAGGTACAGCAATTTCTTTTATTTTTATGTTATTTTAATTGTAGAAGACTAATCAGCGGAGATTTTTTTACTTGTAGTTGGAATTTAGCCTGATGTGGGCTGAATGTAGTTTTAAGTTTCTATTAATTTTGAATTTGTTCATTTTCTGAACACTGAGGAAGCAGAGCTAGACGGCATTAGAAACTGGCTGTGATTTAAAATTTAAGGGACAGTTTGCTTCGTAAAATGCATTTAATTATTGACTATCTCTCAATTTGCACCCTGGAACAAACTCAAATAATTACTCGCTGTTGACTAATCAAATTAAACAAAGATATTTTTATAATACAAGAATTGCATATTTTTTATTATTAATTGGCACAAGAAACCAGTTGAACTGAAAACCCACCCCTGTTTATTTAATTTTTCTAAAAAAATTCAAGTTCAGCAATCTCTGTCCCTCGACTTGCTTCTGCGTCTGTCCTTGCTTTTTTTGCGACCTTGGCGCTCCGTCCTTCGGCAGTCCCTGTCTTGACTGCGGCTCCTGCACCTGCTTCTTCCTCTCTGCTTGCTTCCACCCCGTCTACGAGGGCTGCAGCAACGTCTCCTCTCACATCCATTTTGATTCCCACCTTGGTTGTTGCCTTGTCCATTATTATTGCTTCCAGAGCCTTGATCACCACTGTTTCCATCTTCATTGTTGCCATTTCCATTGTTACCACTCCCATTATTTCCATTACTGCCGTTTCCATTGTTGTTGGGCCTCCCATTATTTCCATTTCCATTGTTGTTTGGCCGCCCATTGTTGCCATTTCCACTGTTTCCATTATTGCCGTTCCCATTTCCATTGTTATTGGGCCTCTCATTGTTTCCATTTCCATTGTTGTTAGGTCGCCCATTGCTACCGCTTCCACTGTTGTTGGGTTGTCCATTATTTTGATTTCCATTTCCACCATTGTTAGGACGATTATTTTGGTCATCATAATAATCGTAGTCTCCATTCATTCCTTGATTATTCTGATTGTTACCAGGCCGCCCACCGGATCCATTTCCATTATTGTTGGGCCGTCCATTGTTTCCATTGTTGTTGGGTCGCCCATTGTTACCATTTCCATTATTTGAGTCTCCATTGTTACTTGGAGAACTGTCATAATTGTCATAATCGCCACCTTGATTTTGGTTATTCGGGGGTTGAGTAGTTGTAGATGTCTGATTATTCCTCACCGGAGGTCTGGGACGGGGTCGGTTTTGCTGAGGCGCGGCGAGGACCGCTGTTAAGCTCAGTACAGTGACTAATACCACCAAGACCTAAAACGATTTAATTTTTCATATTAAGGCTGATTAAATTAATAATTAATATAAATTTTTAAAAAGCTACTTAGATATTATTTTGATTTACGCGATGGAAACTTATTTTATAAATTATAATTGAAACTGACCTGTATTGAGGTTCTGGTCCTGAACACCATGGTTTATTAGTTGAAGAAAATCAATGAGTGAAATTTTTATCTCCACACTGCTTTGCACTTTCTGGGCTCCTGTGACAAAGCAAATTATTGAGGTTCGCCTTTTATAGTTTCCCTCCAAGGTTGCGAGCAAAAATGTGCAAATAATCCTGAAGTACACTTCTTCTTAAATGTTGGCATTTTTAAATATTATAATGGATGGGAACGTAAACTATGAGATCAGCATCCTTTATTTTATTGCAATTTCAAAGGGCTCCATGCTGAAAGATAAAAAATTTACGCCGCGGAATAAGAATGACTGCATATAATCACCTGCACAAATAATAAAGTTCAAACTTTGTAATTTAAAATGATTAATTTAAAAGCAAATATTTTTGTTAAAAGAGTTTTTTTTTATAAAATTCTTAATTAAATTAATATACAATTATAGACGTCAATTGACGTCAAGCCCTTCGAATTTTTGCTGTCTTTGGGGTCGATGGACGGCAGACGGAAAACGTGTCGCTCGCGTTATTACTTCCCTAATGCCTTGCATGTGTTATAAAGCCTGCTCTTTTTAACTCATTGTGGATCACCTGGAAACTAAATCTGCCTGAGGCGGAGCAGGGACTGGTCTGCAGTATCGGCGGTTATCCACGGCCCTTGCTCCCAAGAAAGCCGGCCGCTTGCTTATAAAAGCTTGCGATGTGATGGTCAAGGTTTAGTTAGTTAGCAAATCTTACCAGGAGCGGCTGTAATGGAGACCAGAAAGGTTTGTTGTCGCTTTCAATTCGTGAATGTTTTTATTTTTCATTTTCTTTCTTTTGAAATGTCAGGTCTCGTTTTTGTGCTTAATCGCCTTGCTGGGGTGCACCGCAGCCTTCCCATCCGAAGCAAAAAAAGACGAGGTTAAAGAAAAGGAGCCACAAAATGAAGCCATCGAAGGGACGACGGTTGAATACGAGAGCCAGACAGCGGCGGCCGAGGCGGACGCACCACTGGGGGTGAGGCTGCAGCAGGGTTATTACGGTGGAAAACCGCAGGGTGGTTCTTATCCTCCTCAAAATCAGGGTGGGTATCCCAGTCAGGGCAGCCATCAACAGGGTGGAAAGCCAGGAGGAGTTTATCCTCAGGGCGGAGGTCACAACCAAGGTCAAGGCAGCTACCCTGGAAATCAGAAGCCCGGTGGTGCTCACAATCAGGGATACCCTTCAAATCAAGGAGGCCAACACAACCAGGGCTACCCGCAGGGTGGAGATCAGGGACATTACCCTGCAAACCAAAAACCCGGCCAGGGCTATCCTCAGGGTCAGGGTGGACACAATCAGGGTTATCCTCAGGGTCAGGGTGGACATAACCAGGGCTATCCTCAAGGGTCTGGCAACCAGAAGCCAGGTGGCGTTCATAATCAGGGTTATCCGCAGGGTCAGGGTGGGCATAATCAGGGCTATCCTCAGGGTCAGGGTGGACACAATCAGGGTTATCCTCAGGGTCAGGGTGGACATAACCAGGGCTACCCTCAAGGGCCTGGCAACCAGAAGCCAGGTGGCGTCCATAATCAGGGCTACCCTCAAGGACAAGGAGGTCACAACCAAGGACAAAGACCGACTGGCAGCTACGGATCGAATGCGCACGGCGGCTACGGCGATAATTTGGCTTTTGAGAATGGCCACGAACACGGCTTTCTTGGTAACCGGATAAAGGAAGAAGAAACGACCAGCGCCAAAATCCCCATCCCTGATGCTGACAAACCAACGGCCAGCACAGCGGCACCTGCAAAATCTAGTACGACTGTAGCCACAAAAATTGAGGACAAAATCAAGTTTCAGTAAGAAATGAAAGTGTAATATTTGTATTTTAAAAGCTTCAAATTTATTAGTATTATGTAATCTAAATTATTAAAAAATAATTATCAAGTACACCATTGTTTATTTGCATTAACCTTTTCATGTTTAATTTTTGGTTACCGAATTTTATTTAAAATATAAAACATTGAAAGTAAAAGATAAAATTTGCAATTATTGCAGCTGAGGAGAAGGAATTTAAATTTTGGGAAATATAAATTTTTTTATACAGGAATAATAAATATAAGACCAGAGAGCGTGCAAATCAATTAAATCTGTACTCCACCAGCTCATACCAACTAAATAGAAACCAATGTTCTGACCTTTCCCAATAAATAATCTCATCTCACAGCACCGGGAGTTTTCCTCTCATTATAGTGTTGACTCTGTATTCAATTATTAAATTGTTCAAATGTTGCTTCTATTTAATAATATAAATATTCATTGAAGATTTAAATTCTCATAATTAAATAAGTTAACCTCCTGGAAACTAAACTGCCCGAGGCGGAACAGGGACTGGTCTGCAGAATGAATAGAATGATTGGTGATTATCCACGGCCTTTTCTCCTGGGAAAATCATATGAAAGCTGTAATGTAGATTTTTTAATCACATCTATTTTTATTCATGATTTCCATATAATTATAAATAAATCAGAATAATTATTATAAATCTTATAAATAATTGAATAAAATTGCACGTAAAGCAAGTGGAGGGAGTATGCAACCGGCACATTATAACGGTTTCGCGGGTTGCATTTAATACCCAAGGTAAAGTGATTTTATCAGTTTTTGCGAGTCTACATTTTATCTTTTTCCAGTATAAATTTCTCACGGAAAATCATAGCGCCTTGTATTGCTTCATAGGTAGATAGCATCTTGAATATATCAAAATGACGCATCGAGGGATAAATAAAACTGACAAGGGCAACGCGTGCCGCCTTTCCCAAGCACCGCCTTGACGATGAGCGGTCCCGTTTCTTTTTGTTTGTCTGGGTGCGTCCATTTACTAAATTGCATTTACGCACTGACCGCATCATGGCAGACAATGTCAGCGTAACCTCGGATTATTGCAGCTGAGGGGCAGGACGTGGAGTTTTATGACATAATTTCTAACTAATTGTTTATCAATATTCTAATGTTAATGTGTATTTATAACAATTTTGAAAGATAAAAAAAAAAACAATTTAAAAAGGTTTATAATTAAACACTTTTTTTTAAATTTGTTCAAGAATTTAACGATTGAGGGTTGATTATTCATGGTGTTTGAGGAAGATATTATTATTATTTTTTAGAACAATAAAAAAATTTACACCTTTTTTGTAAATTTATACTTCCTTTCAAATTGATATTAAAGTAATAAAAATTCGAGAAAATTGGCCCTAGGATAAAAATTTCATTCTAGTGTATCGTAGTATATAAAAAAGTGAATGACCGAGGTAATTGTTATTTAAAAAATATCAATTTAGTAATAACAGGGCACTCGTATATTCTTGGCTGAGATCCGCCCCTGGAATATATCTTGCTTGCGCTCTTTCTCACACTCCACCCCAAACCTTCCGTCTCGCCCAAATGACAGAGTCATTGGGCACCGAAACGCCATGGAGCACTGGCTGATGCACAAAGCCGCTCTGGCTCTCGGCATCTCGGCGGAAAGCAGCCTCTTCTTCCGGCTCTACGCCCTCTCCATTTTCGTCCTCATCTCCGTCTCTTCCATCCACGTGCTGCACTTGTCCGGTTTAGCCTCGTTGATCGAAAACAGGGCGCAGAATATCAGCGTCTCCGTGGCCTACCTGTTCGACGTGCTCGCACGCTCGGCCAGAGTAATCAGCTACGTCATAATGCACCTGCTTTCGTACAGGTAATAACGAAATAAAATATTGAATAGGTGTGTGTTTAACCCTTTCACTTGCAATTGATAGAACAGTAATCAGTTTTTTAATCACATTTTAACTTATCCCATGAATACCAGTTAATTGTAAAATGGACAGTAAAAGAAAAAAATATAAGTTATGATTAAAATTGTTACTTTTATTTCCATGAAAACTAGACATTACAACTGATAATTTATTTGAGTAAGACGTGTAGGAATCGTTGTTTTATTTTCTAGCTTATGCAACCTGTTGGACATCTTTGTGTCGCGGGTTGCATTTTCGATTTTATGTAGGCTGAAATTCTTCGATTCAATTAATTAAAATTAAAAGTGTTTTTCTAGGCACGAAAAATCATTTCAAAATGTTCACAAAGAGTTGTGCGAGTTGCGTTGGCGCCTCAGTGGTCGTGCCAATGTAAGCAACCACGTCACCCTTTTCTTCGTCCTCGGCTTCACCCTTGTGCGAATCGTGTCCACCTTGTACCGGCTCATCATCACTGAGGGCACCCTTCTCAACTTCCCTTACCACTTCAAATTTGTATTCAACGTCGTCATGGAGCTGCAGCTCTACTGCTTGCTGGCCGAGTTGGACCAGAGCTTCGACGCCATCAACGCCAAACTGGCGCAGCTCGGGAAAAAAATCCCCAACAATGCGCTCACACTTTGCGGAAACGTCTTTGTCGACAAATGGAAATTGCCACAGACTGTAGAGTATATTGGAGTGCATAGGTATTTTAATTAAATAATTATTATTTTTTATATAAAAAATTAAACAGATTTTATCTAGATTTTTTTTGCATTTTTTTAATGTTATTTGAATACGTCGTATGATAAGGATAAATTTTAATTCAACTAGGTCATCCCTGATTTCGTACTCCATGGCCGTTCGGAATTTGCGTCGGGTGCATTCGTCCCTGAGCGACATCATGCGTCGCATCAACAGTCTCTTCGGCGTGCGACTCTTGGTTGACATCACAGCCCAGTTAACTGCCCTCATGCTTCGACTGAAAATGATCATCACGTGGCTCTTCGACGGGCTCAACACCTCGGTGGAAAATAGCGACACCAACTCGATTCAAATCGGTCTAGAGCGAGCACTCTCGGCCTTCATCGTCTGTCCAATCCACGTGGGGACCGTTTTCGCCGTTGTCTTCTTTTGTTCAAGGACTATTAAAAAAGTTATTATTTAATATCATTTTAATAAATTTTTAGTGATTGTTTTTCTTATCTTTAAGGCAGAGCAAACTACGATTGAGTTGCATAAGCTGTTGAACTACAGTGTGGACAAAGAAGGCCGAGATGAAGTAAATTTTTTAATCTCGCAATGAATATTTCTGCTAAGGTGTAAAAATTTCAGTTGCAGATTTTTGCTATGCAGCTGCTGCAGAACAAGGCGCAGTTCACAGCTGCTGGCGTTTTCCCACTCGATTTCACTTTGCTTTACTCGGTATTTCGTTGAGAAATTATATCAAATTTTTTATTTTTAATTAAATTTGTCTTAATTTTTAGTTCATGGGCGTGATAACAACATATCTTGTCATCTTAATTCAGTTCGGAGCTTCATTGCCAAGGCACCCGACCCAACTAATGGATAAAAATTTATGCGTCAATGGAACTCTCATTTAGTTGCAAAATAAATGTTCATTTGTTAAGATTTAAAGAAGAGTAAAGTGTAAATCCGTTTTAACCGGTAATTGTAAAATAAAAATGGAAAATCTAAATTTATATAGAAAAAAATCCAAGCATTTTCGTGATTTCATATAACAAAAAGATAAATATTTTTTTGCGAAATCTTCACGAACTGTATTAAAATATTGAAAAAAATAAAATGTTATTTGTTATTTGTGTGCCTGAAAATTCCCGTTAAATAAATTTAAATAAGAAGTTAGTCAAATGTTCTCCCACTACATAAATTATCTTCGCAATAATTATTTCAAATAATATAATATAATCGAGAGTGCATAACTCTTCGTCACTGCAAATTTTCTTAAAGCAGGCAATCTCTTGAGGGAGAGATTTTTGAAATAAGAAGGAATTTAATTAATTTAATTTGTAATTTTAATGCAAATTCAAGTTATTCACACTGTTTTAGAAAATTTAGATTTAAAGGGTGCTTAAAGGAGGCAACCGGACAAAAAAAATTTACTTTCATACAGCCGCTGAGTCGTGCAAATTGTGATTATTTTATTTAATCTACTGACGCTACTTTTACTTAATTTAGCTAAAAATTCAAGTTTTTCACGCTGTTTAGAACTTTTTATGCAGCTGGAAAAATATAAACTCAATATAATAAAATCCTTCTTTATTCTCTGGCTGCCGTCGCTCGACGAATCATGCTTTTAATTCCATCCCAAGTTTCCGTCACAACAGGGATGATATCAGACGCGGGAGGGTTGAAACCACCCGTACCTCCTCCAGGTAGCTCCCAAGTGTACGAGTAAGGGACGTTGGCCACCCCTAATGCAAAGTCGTCTGCTGCACCAAACTGCGGGTCTTTAAATCCAAAGGTTGACGATTATTTTATCATAACATTTTAGGCGTTAATTTAAGTTACAAAGTAGTCCTGCAGAGGTGCCTGTTGTGTACTCCATGCCGCGGTGCGCAAAAACGGCGGCGGCTGCCTCTTTTCCAGTGGCGTGCTTTAGTTAAAATTATTCATGTTTGAATGCAGTTGCAATTATGATTACAATTATTATTAATTAAAAAAACTCACCAACTCAGCAGCATTAGGTGGTGGATCAGTGGTATATCCCCAGGGATAAACTATTAACTAAAAATTCGTAAAATAGAATAAACCAAAATAATTCTGGTTTTTGATAATACCAACCTCTCCATAGCTGTGTATAGCGAGGTAAATGGCAATGTTTCCCGACTGCGCCAGTAATTGATTTCCCACGGCCCTGCTCTCTTTTTCGCTGAATGGACCCGTGCCAGGGTAGGTTAAACTGCAAGGATCGGACACGTTCTCACCTTTGCAAAAAATAAGAACACTTTAGTTTTTTATTATTTAAATTTTACCTCCCCAGTAAAAGTCGTAATTCCGATTTGGATCAACTCCGAGGCATGGTGAAGGAAAGTTAATTTTGCGATTCTTCCTCCAAAATCTGTCCTTTTAAAAAGAAAAAAAAACAGTAAATTTCAACAGTTAATTATGAAGATGATCTAGAAAGAATAATTTTTTTTTTAAATTCTGTGCAATTGATTTTTACTCTTACTTTTTCAAATGAGTAGACGTATCCGTCTGGATTTGCCACCGGCACTATCCACCAGTCGGCCAAATCCAGCAGCTCTTTATTCACGTTGTAATTATCCAAAAGTTCCATTATGGTTTTCAAGCAGACGGGCGGCGCCATCCACTCTCTAGCGTGCAGGGCGCAGTCCATCATCACCATTCTTTTTCCCGGTCCATTAGAAAGATGTAAAGCTCGGATTTGTCTCCCTTGAAAAGTCGTCTCCAAATCAACGACTGCGGTCAAATTTGGGTAGGCAGAATGCATTTCGTCAATATACGCTTGAATCTATTAGTATATCAATATCAGTATTAAATATTATGTTATTGAATAAAAAAAAATATACTTCAGCAAACTCCATAAATCTTTCAAACGTTATATTTCTTGAATTTGTCTCACGCGTAATCGATTTCAAAAACTCGTGCTCTTTTATTTCTTTAGAGACGGTGCTGAAAAAATTTAATTAGCTTTCATATTAATATTTTTTTAATTAAATTGTTTATTACGGGCCAACATCGTCAATAAAAATTGAGAATTCAATATCCAATTTAATCAGTTTTTTCGTCAAGTCACTTAGTTCATCTCCCGACACCATTACCAAATTGTCATTGCCAAGGCGCGGTCGCGACCAAAAGTCAAATCTCGGGTCATGCTCTAATTCAGCGAAGGCTTCAAAATAATCCATTTCGACTGGTCCCACACGAAGAACTTTGTATCTGTATGAAAAACTTATAATCTACCATTTTTTTATAGAAATTTGTTCTTACCCATTGTATGTTTTATAAGTTAAAACAGAAGGGGCGAAAAAAGCCAATAACAAAGCTACTTTCCACGACTCCATCATAGCAAATTATCTTTCTGCCTCATCAAATTTAACCGCTGAAATCTCACTAGAATACTGCGAGATAAAAAAATCAAAATATTTTTTGAGATTAAATGATCCTTACAAAACATCCATTTTCACAGCTTGAGTATATTAGATAAAAAAAAGATTGTGTATAAGCTCTCCGTTTTATAAAAATTATAAAACCGCACCATATAATTCTGAAACACACACCCCAGTGCTGGTTTAAATTTATTTTCCTTTTCAAATTTCAGTTATTTTTCTCAAATTAAAAAAAAACCAAAAAAACAGTGAAAATCTTTTTATCAATATCAGAAAAAGATAAGTGATAAACAAAGACAAGTCTTTATTAATCATGCGTCCATAGCTCAACAACTTTGCCTCCGTTTAACTTCCTTGACTTTTCTTGCAACAATGAAGAAGCTCATCAGTTTTATATTTCTAATATCTCTCGTTTTTGTGGATTCAAAGTCATATGAAGGGTAACAACAACTCTTTTAGGAAATTTAGAATTTGCTTGAATTGGAAGTATTAAAGTTACCAGGTTTACCAAACTGCACCGTTAACATGGGAAAGCTTGAAACTGATTCACGACAATGTGCTCAGAAATTCCATTTATCAAATTTGGAACGAGCCAAAGGTAGGTTTGCCTGCGCAAATAGTGGCCTGTTGCCAGCATTCAGGAAAAGAACTGGCCAATTTACTGGAGTCAATGGACTTACGCCCTCAGCTGCTTGTGGATAACATCGAAAGGTGAGAGACGGATATTTAAATTTATATAATTAATTTTAGAATTTTAGGATTTTCCAACAAGAGAGAGAACAAATTGACCTTATTCGAAAGAGAGATGAATTCAGCACAAGTCGAAATGTCACCTTTGAAAGATTTATGGATTATGACGAAGTAAGAATTTAATTTTTATTGTACATTATTTTAAATGAAAAAGTTAAATTTATTCAGATTTCACTTTATTTGACTGAAGTAGCCGCCACTTATCCAGAAATCGCTCAACTCGCATCAATCGGGACAAGCTACGAGGGTCGGCAGCAAAATTTATTGAAGTTATCGAATGGAAACGGGGTGCCGAAAATTGGCATTTTCATTGACGCAGGAATTCACGCAGCAGAGTGGCTCGGGCCCTCCGTGGCTCTCAACACAATTTTTCAACTTACGGCCAACTCGAGCGCCAATCAAGTCTTTTTGGACATGGCCGACTGGTACATTTTGCCTGTGGCCAATCCAGACGGATACGTCTTTTCTTGGACAGAGGTTGTTGCAATTTTGAAAATTTAAATAATTGTACTTAAATGAAACAAAATTTAGGACCGATTATGGAGAAAAACGCGCCGGCCCAATGAGGGATCCGACTGCGTTGGAGCAGATCCTAATAGGAATTTTGATAACCACTGGGGAGGTAAAATTTTTAATTTCTGCATAAATTGTTAATTTAGGCTTTTAAATCAAAAAATCTTAATTTATTTTTAAGAGGGTGGTGAGACTGATCCTTGTTTGTGGAATTACCCTGGCCCAAACGTTTATTCCGAAATCGAATCAAAGAACATCGCAGACTACTTGCTCAGCTTAAAAGGAGACTTGCATTTGTACATAGCTACACACTCATATGGACAGGTTTCACTCTTGACCATTTTCTGTAAAGAGAAGCGAAATTAATTTCAAATTGTTAGCTTTTGCTGCACCCATACGGTTACACCACATCGGAAGTGCCTCCAAATTACAACGAAATGGTAAAATGTCTTTTTGTTTCGTCTTTTCTTCCAAAATTTGCAATAATTTTGTTTTTAGTACTCTGCCGCTAATTTGACTGCCTCAGTTTTGGAGTCTGTGAGAGGGACAGAGTACACATTCGGCAGCAGTGGAGTGGTCCTTTGTAAGCAATTGCGAAACAGCATCTAGACTTTTGATTCTCATCATCTTATTTTTTTATCTCGCTTCAGACCTCGCGTTTGGAAATACCCAAGACTTTGCCTACGAGGCGGCCGGCGCTCGGTTCTCATACACATGGGAACTTCCCGCCGGTGGACCAAATGGAAATGATCCTCCAGCGACGGACATCAAACCTGTCGTTGAGGAAACTTGGGCAGCATATCAAGCTTTGATCCAACGCGTTTATGACACAGTGTATCCCAATTAAAATAAACTAATTGGCAGAAAATTAATTTTTTGATAGAGTTTTTTTCTTTTTTCCGTTACATACAAACGTGAAATTACTATCGGAGATATAATAGAAATTGTGTTTATTTTACTTCTTGCAATTGCAAAGTGATGGTATTTTAATATAAAATTGATCAAATCGAGAAGATAAGATTAGGTGTATTGCTAAGTTTCAAGTTTTTAGCTGCTCGTCAGGCTACCTAATGTCTCTCGCTCGTTTTTTTTTTTTTAATTTGTTTTTAACATTAAAATCTAATCGGTGCGCTAAGATGAAAGGATGTGCAGCGCTGCTCTTGTTGGCCACCTTTTTTGCCAATTCTGTGGCTTCAAAATCTTACGAGGGGTGCGTAAAATTTCTCACTTCAATAACGTTTCTATGCATTTCCAAATTTCAACACAGATTTATTTTAGATGGCAGGCTTACCAGACGAAGCCTTTGGACAAACTCGCCTTGATGGGTATTCAGAGAAATGTCCTGTCGAATTCCAAATTTCAAATATGGAGGCAGCCGCAGCTGAATAGGCCAGCAGAAATTTTAGTTTGCCCGAAAAATCGTGCCCAACTGTTGAAGATCTTGAAAAAAATTGGGATAAAAGCACATCTTTACATCAATGACGTGGAAAAGTGGGTTTGGAATATAATTTTTTTTAATATAATCATTATTTTGTAATATTGCAGAGTTTTACGTAAAGAAAGGCAAGCGATTGATAATATCAAAAAAAGAGAAAAATATGGCTTAGTTTATAATGTTACTTTTGATAGGTACATGAATTTTGATGAGGTATTTTTAAAGATTTTGGAAAAATTTAAATTATTCTCATTGGAACACGTGAAATTTCAGATCACTGAATATGTAAATGAGGTTGCATCGAAATTCCCTTCAATCGCCTCGGTTGAAACAATAGGTACCAGTTTTGAGGGCCGACCACAAACCGTTCTAAAACTTTCCAGTGGAAACAGTACAAGTAAAATTGGAGTTTTCGTGGACGCAGCAATTCACGCCGCTGAGTGGCTTGGTCCGGCCGTGGCGCTCAACGCAATTCACCAACTCACGGAGAACCAAGCGGCCAACCAGGACTATCTGGACATGGCAGACTGGTACATTCTGCCAGTGGCCAACCCTGACGGGTATGTCTTCTCATGGGAACAGGCAAGTGAACTTTTATAATATTTTAAATAATTATGCAACTCGCGCTGATCTGATGCGGTACAGGTTGCATACCCAGTCAATAAAAGGGGGTTCTTTCTCATATAGGATCGCCTGTGGAGAAAAACAAGGCGACCGAACGAAGGCTCCAGTTGCTTTGGCGCAGATCCGAACAGGAATTTCAATATCCATTGGGGAGGTAAGGGAGGTTGAATATGAAATGTGAGATATAAGCGTCATATCAAATTCTAATTTGGTTTTTTTTTTGTCAAAGAGGGAGGAGAGAGAGATGCGTGTGTGTGGAACTGTCCTGGGCCCAATGTTTATTCAGAGATCGAATCAAAGAACATGGCTGACTTCTTGATTGAAAAAGGTCTGACAGGTGTTATTGATTTGTACATGACCCTACACACCGATGGACAAGTAAATGTTTTGCATTAAATTGTTTCCGAAATTTAGAAATTGAATAAAATTTCTAGGTTCTTTTGCATCCGTACGGATATTCAACAGATATTCCTCCAAATTCTGGTGATATTGTAAGTCTCAACTTGTGATAAAACTTAATTAATCTTTTATATTAAATTCAATTGTGATACTTTTACCTCTCAATAGATTTCATCTGGTGACTTAGCAGTGAAAGCCTTAGAGTCGGTTCGAGGGACGAAGTATACCGTTGGAAGCATTGCCAATATTATGTGTTCGTTCATAAATTCTTTTGTAAAAAAACATAAAATTAATTAAAAATCGTCTTAGATTTGGCGTACGGCAATAGTCAAGACTTTGCCTACGATGAGGCTGAAATTCCTTTTGCCTACACTTGGGAGCTTCCAGGGGGCGGCGAAAACGGTCATGACCCTCCTCCCTCTGAAATAAAACCAGTCGTTACAGAAACGTGGGAAGGCTTTAAAGCAATGGTCCGCAATGTTTACAATATTCGCAAAAAAATATAAAAAGACACCTTATAGTTCAATTGAGAAAAAGCATTTTTTTCAATACAATTCGCGGTGTATTTTAAGTTAGATTTACTAATTACTACAAGGAATTCACAAGATTGAACTTGATCAAAATTTGTTTTTGAAAAAGCCAAATTTTTTCTAGATGATTTTTTATCAAAGCAGGTTTCATAAAAACAATAGAAAAATACACTTCTAAAATGAAGGAGATTAATAGATTTTTTTCCATTTCCAAATTACCATTAATATTGCTTTTTTGTGATTGCAAAAGTCACAAATGATTGCTTTTTCGATCTTGCCCAACTTTGCCGTAGCGGCACTTGAAAAAATGTATGCAGTCACGTTGTGTGTTATCAATCAGACACACTGCTGATTAGTATGAAAATTAGAGTCCGAGCGGCGCTCTCCGCTTTTTAATCAGTGTTCAAACGGACTAATCAGACTGTGCTGCTTTCAAAGCACTTGAAAAATTTCTTGCGTTTATATACAAACAACAATATAACATGAAATGTGTCCCCTTTCATTATAAAAGACGCCGATCAACTTTGGAATTCAGATATTGCTGTCGCCGACAATAATATCAAAACATGCGGCTGCATCTCACGTTTGGGGCACTTTTGGTGCTTGCATTTGCAACTGCAACCGCCACTCGCAAGTCTTATTCATGGTACATATTTAATTTTTTTTACTAAAATTTTATAACCAAAATTTCAATTAATATCATATTGTAGTTACAAAGTGATTCAGACAAAAACCTTGGATGTGGAAGATGTCCTCAAGGTCGCTCCATTTGAGCACCGACCAGAGTTCAATTTCTGGAGCCAACCCAGGGTGGGAAGAGCTGCAGAAATCATGGTCGCCCCTGAACACGAAGCTCTGGTCACGAGAATTTTGCGCCGCTTGAAATTGAACCCCACTGTAGTCATTGAAGACGTAGAAAAGTAATTTTGAACAATTAAATGAACCAAACTTGTAATGAATATTTAATCAAAAGGGTTGTTCAATCAGAACGGGATCATATCGACATGATCAAGTCGAGTGAAGGCAAAAGTGGAAAAGCAGTTTCCTTTGACCGGTACATGACCTTTGACGAGGTATAATTCATACAAATTTTATTGAAGAAAAAAATTATAAATTGTCAGTAAAAGATTCAAGTCTACCTGGACGAGTTGGTGGCCGCTTTCCCTACACTGGCCTCGGTGATTGAAATCGGACAGTCCACTGAGGGTCGCCCTTTGCGCGTCCTCAAGATTTCCAACGGCCCCGGCAAAAAGGCCCTGTTTACCGACGCGGCCATCCACGCTCGCGAGTGGATCGCCCCACCTGTTGCTCTGAAAATCGCTTTTGAATTATTGGAAAACTATGCCGCGAACCAGGCCCTAGTCGACCTCATCGACTGGTACATTTTGCCTGTGGCGAATCCTGACGGCTACGTCTACTCTTGGGATTCTGTGAGTTTAATTGAAAAGAAAAAATTTGAATTGATAAAAATTAACAGGATCGTTACTGGAGGAAAACACGTAGTGTCAATCCGGGTTCCACTTGTATTGGCACAGATCCCAACAGGAATTTCGATTTCCACTGGGGCGGTAAATAAAAATTTTAGCTTGACCAATCTCTAATTCTTTGTTATAACAATTATTTTTCACTATAGAGGAAACTGGAACCGTTCCGTGCGGTGAGACTTGGCCCAACACGAGACCGTTTTCGGAACCTGAAACTGCAGCCATGAGCGTTTTCATCAACAATACCTTAGAAATTACCACCTATGTTGCAATCCATAGTTACGGACAGGTAAAAAATAATTTAAAAAAAAAAATAAATAAATAAAATCCATGAAATATTATTTTTCAGTTGCTTATTTTCCCTTACGGACACACAACTGAACTCCCACCGACTTTCGATGAACTGGTATAATTAATTCAAATTTTGTTTGTATTGCTAGAAAAAACTCACAGAAAAATTTTAGAATACGCACGCACTCGATGCAGCACAAGCTCTTCAAAACGTATACGGAACCGTCTATGAAGTTGGCACCGTGGCTAATGTTCTTTGTAAGAACATTGTATTAGAATATTATAGTATTTTAAATAAATAATTCTCTAGATTTCTCGTATGGAGCCTGTCGCGATTGGGCTTATGGCGCTGCTGGCCTTCCGCTCTCATACACATTTGAGCTGCCTGGAAACGGATTTGGTTTCGCGCCGCCCCCAACTGATATTCTACCCGTGGTCACTGAAACCTGGGAGGCGGTCAAGGTGATCGCACAAGCTGCTGGAAATGCTGTTCGACCATAAGATAAAAATAAAATTCAGTTCTAATAAAAAAACAAACAATGTATTTGTAACAATGTGGTCAAATAAACAACCGGGAAAAAAATAATGATTCCCTCTCTAATTTAATATTCAAATCTTATTCTTAAACCTTAACTGTATTTTTTTAATGCAATAAAAAAATCATGGAGATAAAACAAATGGATAGGAGATCAAAACTTTATCAGTATAAACTGAAAGATTTAAATAGCAAAATCATTCATTAATAATTATAATAATGACATATTGAGAATTTAATACATTATTTTAACTTTTTATTTAAACCAGATGGAAAATTTCAAATTATCAGAATTAAAAAAACATATCGTTTCATAACTGGTTTGATATTTGCGATACGATTTTGTATTTAATTTTTTTAAACAATATTAATTAGCTAATTATTAGATAGTTATTAGTGCCGGAAATGTGATCATTAAAAAATAATTTGAATTGAAGTAACGAGTTTAGATATCGACTATAAAATTTTGATCATTCATTTAAATTTAAATTTAAACAGGTTTTTTATTTAATGTCTAGATAATTTTTTTCTTTAATAAATCTCATTTAATTTATTTCTTCGTTGGGAGAATGGGGAAGGTAGGGTTAGCAATAGTGTACTCGACAAGAGTCTTCAAGCCAGGCCAGGTTTCATCCACGACACCTTGGATCCTAGAAGGGGGAGGGTTGAAGCCAGCAAGTCCACCTCCGGGAAGCTCATAGGTGTAAGCGTAACCAGCAGCTCCAATTCCATAAGCGTAGTCATCACTTGCACCAAAGGTGAAGTCTGCCAAGGGCCAAATAAATCAAGAGATTATTTGGTGTGAATTTAAAAAAAAAAATATCGTACAGAGTCCAGCGGCGGAATTCTCAACAGAGTAAACGGTGCCACTAACAGAGGCGATGACATCGGCAGATTTTTGACCAGCAGCGAACTGCAGAGAAAGAAATTAATTTTTAATGAAATATGTAAAGTAACCGATTTTCAAGAATTAAAATTCTTACCAAATCATCTGCATTGGGCACTGGTTCAATGGTGTGACCAAAGGGATACAAAATGAGCTAAAAGGATAAAAAAAATAAACAATGGAAGATTTTTGACGACTTTATAACATTTTTTTTATATATTTTGATTTAATTTGGCCATCCTTTTAATTGAATGAGAATTAATATTTTTCAAATTTATACCTACCGATCCGTAGCTGTGCAGAGCAACGTAGAGAACAAGGCTGTCAGCATTGGCGGCGATGAAGTTGCCGATGCCAGCGCACTCGGGCTCGGAGAAGGCAGAGGAGCCAGGGAAAGTTTCATCACAGTAAGCTCCAGCGCCTAATTAATGGAAAATTATGTTTAATTTTCTCCAAATCATTTCAATTTGAAACTAACTATCCCACAGGAAATCGAAGTTCCGGTTAGGGTCGGTGCCAACGCAGGTGGAGCCAGGGTTGGGCCTACGGGTCTTCCTCCAGAATCGGCTCTGACATTTTTCACATTTTTCAAATTAAAACATTACAATAAAATAAAATATAAGAAAAATAAATTTTAATTTGAAATATGAATATTATCGTACGTCTGTGGTGGAGAAAGAGTAGCCATCAGGGTTGGCGACGGGCAAGACATACCAGTCAGCAAGGTCGCGGAGGGCAGGGTCAGCGAGCACCTCGTCGATGATCCTCAGGCAGACGGGGGGTGCGATCCACTCGCGGGCGTGGATGGCGCAGTCGAACCACACGGTGGGCTGTCCGGCGGCTCCGTTGCTCAGCTTGATGCCGTGCAGCTCACGACCTTCGGTGGACAATCCGAGGTCAACGAGGCTGGCTACTGAGGGGTTGGCAGCGATAGTCTCGTGGACGTGAGCATTGATTTCGTCATAAGTCATGTAGCGATCGTAAACGGCGACGCGGGGCTGGCGGGGGATGGCGCGCATCAGCCTCTCCTGCTCGGCGAAGTCCTTCTCAACAATTCTGTTTTAATTTTGAAAGGTATCAATTTTTTTCAAATAAAAGTTTATAAATGTGTTTTTCTTAGCACATTTTTTACTTTCTTCAAAATGAGTGCAATGCTAAAAAAATTGGCCCGATCAAGTTTGCTTCAAGTTGCGTTAACTGCAAAGAAATGCAATGAAAAATTGGCCAAGAGCAAAAAGGGCCTTGTCATTTTGGCCCAATTAAAAAGGCGTAGTAATCACACAATGGGGCCTGAATTGACTCTTAGATTACTAAAAATCCCCTACTCTAAGAAATTTATTCCAGTCAATGCAGTCCAATTTAAAATTTTCTTACGGAGCCAAATCCTCAATCATGATTTCGTGAGAAATGCGAAGCCTGTTGAATGCGGCGTTGACCACGGAGGCCTCCTCAGGAGAGACCATCACGGTTGCTGGCCTGCCGACGACGGGGGTGCCCCAGAAGTCGTAAATGCGGCTCATCTTGTTGATGTAGGGCATCACATTGGGAGTCAATGGTGCCGTCTTCAGGACTTGGTATCTGTTCAAAATCAATTTTCAGTTTTTCAATCAAATTTTTGAATTCATTTTTACCCTGAGTAAGTTTTGTAGGCCAGGGCAGAGCCCACGACCAAAAGGAGCACAATCGATCCCAGCAACCTCATTGTGTCAATTGACTAAATTTTCAGTTCTCATCTTTTTTTATACCATCAGAGCTAAGTGCTTCTTATTATCTTTCTTTCCAAAAAAAATACGCGTTGCTAAGTATATAATGCAGTATCATTATAGTTCAAGAGACTCTTCCTCAAGATTCAAGAATTTGATTCTTATCTAATGTTTATCATCATTATGGAACTAGAAATGGATTTGGCTCCGCGCCGCCAGCAACTAATATTTTACCTTTGATCTCTGAAACAACCTGGGAGGCCATCGAGGTGCTTGCGCAAGCTGCTGCAGCTGCTGTCCGGACGTGCATTAAAAATAAAATTCTGTTTTAATAAAAAAATATTTGCTTGTATAATTTATTATTCAAATAAGCCTTTTTAAACTTCAACCATTACGATTTTTCTTTTAAAAAAAGGATGAAAAATAGAAAGAAATAAATGGATTAAATTTAAATTTAATAAAAATGTACTGAAATCATGTGTTTAAGCAAATAAATAATTATAATAATAATTTTTTAGAATGTCGTGTATGTTCACTAATATTTAAACATTCCAAAATAATCAGGTCCTGGTGCGATTTTTTGTAGCAATGAAATAGATTTAAACAAAAATTTTCAGCTATTAGCGCATAAAATTCTTGCTAGTGGTAGTGCCGATCTGTCCAACAATTCCATTTTCTCAAACGAATTAATTGATTTCAAAAATTAAGTGTCAACAAAGTGATGTAACAACTGGACAAATAAACAACAACAATAATAAAAATCTTGCAGAGGAAAAACAATTTGAATTGCAGTGCAGACCTACATCAGGATCTTAATCATAATAACTTTAAATTTTTATCACCCAAGAAATTGATTTTAATGGAAACAAGTTGCGACATAAATGTGGTCAAATTAAAACATTTTTTTTTTTAAATGAATTCATTTCATTTATTTCTTCAGGGGAGTTGTAGGGTTAGCAATAGTGTACTCGACAAGAGTCTTCAAGCCAGGCCAGGTTTCGTCCACGACGCGCTGGATGGCAGAAGCGGGAGGATTGAAGCCTCCAGATCCACCTCCGGGAAGCTCGTAGGTGTAAGCGTAACCAGCAGCTCCAATTCCATAAGCGTAGTCATCACTTGCACCAAAGGTGAAGTCTGCGTCGATAAAATGATAATGATTAGACGGTGATATTCGGTTTTCAAAAAATTATCGTACAGAGTCCAGCAGCGGAATTCTCAACGGGGTAAGTGGGGCCACCTACAGACTCGATGACAGTGGCAGAAGCGGTACCAGCAGCAAGCTGAAGAATTAGAAATTAATTATTTAATTCAATTCAATTTGTTCATTCTCTCACAACAGGTCAAGATTATTTTTTAGGGAAAAAAATCAAATTGAGGAGAGAATTGGCAGTCAGGCCTATTAAACAACATATTAAAACTCTTAAGCATAATTTGAAAGCAAAAGTGTTTGCAAATTAAACCTACTTGCCGAACTGGGGATGAATTTAAAAAAACGCATAATATTATTAATGAAGAATGTAAAGTATAATTTAACGAATCAAATGCTTACCAAATCATCAGCGTTGGGAACGGGATCAACGGTGTGTCCAAAGGGATACAAAATGATCTAGAAAGGAAAAAAATTACTTAAAGGAAAAAAATAATTGAAAAAATGAATTTTCATATCATATTTTTTTTAACAATTGGTAATGTGTATTTAAAATGAAAATGTACCGGTCCGTAGCTGTGCAGAGCAACGTACAGGATGAGGCTATCAGCATTGGCAGCAATGAAGTTGCCGATGCCAGCGCACTCGGGCTCGGAGAAGGCAGAGGCACCAGGGAAAGTTTCAGAGCAGTAAGTTCCAGCGCCTAATTAATGAAAAATTATTTATAATTTCTCTTCACATTATTTCAAACTAAAACTTACTGTCCCAGAGGAAATCAAAGTTCCTGTTGGGGTCGGTGCCGACGCAGGTGGAGCCAGGGTTGGGCCTGCGGGTCTTTCTCCAGAAACGGTCCTGTCGTTTTTTACAAAATTTATATACTTCAAAATCAAGAGAAATATTAGCATACGTCAGTGGTGGCGAAGGAGTAGCCGTCAGGGTTGGCGATGGGCAGGACGTACCAATCAGCAAGGTCGCGGAGGGCAGGGTCAGCGAGCACCTCGTCGATGATCCTCAGGCAGACGGGGGGTGCGATCCACTCGCGGGCGTGGATGGCGCAGTCGAACCACACGGCGGGCTGTCCGGCGGCTCCGTTGCTCAGCTTGATGCCGTGCAGCTCACGACCTTCGGTGGACAATCCAAGGTCAAGAAGGCTGGCCACTCCGGGATTAGCATCGACAGTCTCGTGGATGTGCGCATCGATTTCGTCAAAAGTCATGTATCGGTTGTAAACGGCGACACGGGGCTGACGGGGGATGGCGCGCATCAGCCTCTCCTGTTCCGCGAAGTCCTGCTCAACAATCCTGAATTGATTTTGCAATTGTATTATTTTTTCTAGTTCAGTATAATAATTTTTTTGCGTATCATTACACAAGAAATTTTTTAACTATATACACAAAAATGGATAAAAAGCATTATTTAACTTATTTTTTAAAGCAAATGTGGGTTCTAGAATTTTAATAGTTTAATTTCCTATTTTGGGAAATTTAGTCTAGTTTGAAATTTTCTTACGGAGCCAAATCCTCAATCATGACTTCGTGGGAGATGCGCAGCCTGTTCAAGACGGAGTTGACCACGGAGGCCTCCTCAGGAGAGACCATCACAGTTGCTGGCCTACCGACGACGGGGGTGCCCCAGAAGTCGTAAATGCGGCTCATCTTGTTAATGTAGGGCATCACATTGGGAGTCAATGGTGCCGTCTTCAGGACTTGGTATCTGTTCAAAATCAATTTTCAGTTTTTCAATCAAATTTTTGAATTCATTTTTACCCTGAGTAAGTTTTGTAGGCCAGGGCAGAGCCCACGACCAAAAGGAGCACAATCGATCCCAGCAACCTCATGGTGTCGATTAACAAATTTTCTCAACTCTCATCTCTTTATACCATCAAGGTGCTCGGCCATTATCTTTGTTTAAAAAAATAACCTTTTATCAATAAGTATACGCGTTGCTAAGTAAATGCAGTAACATTAAAGTGGACACAAGACTCGCCGGACTCACGCTCTCAAGATTTTTATCTGATATTTATCACTGATGAGGCTACGAGAATTATCTTATGTTTAAATTAGACTGCAGGAGTTGATTAAAAGTTTTTGTTTTTAGAAAGAAATCTGCCATGAAAATCTGAAAACATGAAAATTTAATCAAAACCAGTAAAAGGTGGCTTCGTAGATCAATAAAATGTTTTTTGATCATAATCTTGTTTTGAATAAGGCTATTTTGATGGAAAACTTTTTTAAAACATAATATGATTATTTTTCCTAATCTCTTATAAATGTATTCCTTTTTTTTTTATGATATGCAAGTAGGAAATTTTAAGAAAAAATAGTAATTTTAAGTGACTGTTGAAATAATTGATAATTTATTGTGATTAAATGAATTAAATTAAAAATTAAATTTATCATTCAGAGTTCCAAATTTTGATGACCATTAATGTTTGAAGATTGCTTCATCATTGCGAATCATTTGGTTTTTTTCTTTTGTGCTGCCAAAATCAATCAAAATCACATCATCATAGATAATGAAATGGTGTACGTGTTGATTTCTTTGTGAGTCTATCTAAAGTGGTAAATTCAAGCGGACAAACTCCCTCAGAGTTTTATATGTGATCTTATCTGCCACTTGCTATTTTTTGTCTCATCAACCACTCGAGATTTACTGAAGTTTTGGTGCCGAAACGACAACTTTAATAAAATCACACAAAGATTACTTAAAAAGGCACTTGAGTTTTCACCTCTTTGAATAATATGTACTTTATATTAGCGCCAATTATTATTAAGTACAAATTTCATTTTTTTTCTGTGGCAAAACTGTGATATAGAATAAGATTATAGGCTCTTATATTTTAAAGTAGATCTTCTTCAATTGAAGAGATATTATTATTAATTTTATTTATAATGCTACACGGAAGTGTATATCACCAAAATTTTTATTCGTGTAGAATCACAAAATTTTGAGCAAATCACGCACAACCTATGGAATTTCATTAAATACCCGTAATTATAATATCCAGGTCATTAAAAACAATTATAGCAAACTCAATGATTATCAAAAATAATAAATAATAAAAATAAAATTCCAAATTAATGCTAAACGCATGTTGGATTTCGTAAAAAAAAAATAAAAGAAAACGATTTCATTTTGCTCTAAGCAAAGTCAACAAGCCCAGTTACAATTTTTCAATATACAAAGTGATAAGTGATATGTAACAAATTTTGAAAATTTCGTTTGCAGATTCCGACTTCTGAGCTTCTTGATAATTTAAAAAAAAGTACGGTATTAAAGTCGATTCCTTATCAATCCTCCACTTGTACTTCATACTTGTAGAACGTCTGCATATATTATCTGATGAATAAAATTCGTAAAATTCCCACTGATATCGCAGCTGCTATTACATGGGGCCACGTGTGTCGCAGTCCATTCATTCGGGCGCGCTTTTGTAGTACCGCCGATGGACACGGCCAGAGAGGGCAGCACCTTCGCAGATCAGTCCAGCAAAATGTTTGCTAGCGCGAATTACAAAATATGGTGGGAAATCTCACGTTCGGTCAAGTGTCGTGCAATTTTGAGTGATTTTGGTGCAATTCGGGGTTAAGAGTGCGCGTCAACTTTATCCCCAGGTGCATAAGTAATTGAGGTGAGTGTCGTAAGTCAAGATTTGACGTCAGCTCGCGGATTTCGGCCGAAATCGAGTCAAATGTGGTCGCACGAAACGTGCAGCCATCGTGGCCAGCACATTGAACTTTGTCCCTGCACCTTGCTCCATTTCTACGCACCCGTTCCCACATCCTGTCATCGTTTCGCGAAAAATTAGCAAAATTCCAGAACAAAAACGTTGCAAATCTGTCGGGAAACGGCCGAATTTGACTTGATTTCCGCATCCCTGGTTTTCAGAGCTTGGTTGAATATTTATTTTTTTCTCACGCGATTTCGAGCGTTTCAATCTTTGATCATTGTCTAATTATTTTCTCGGACGTTTCAGTGATTTCTGGTGCAGCGAAGATATGCGGGCTGACATGTCAGGCCCAACGCAGAAGTCTGCAGTGACGACCGGACGGAGTCCATGCGCCGCCAGGAAGAGTCTGCCCATGTCCGAGAGACAGCAGATGGCCCTGGTCATGCAGATGTGCGCCAGCGACTCAGGTACGCCCTTGCCTAATTTTCCTTGGCAAAAATTTTCATTCCGTACCTCAATTTTTCTAAAATTTAAAATCAAAACATGATCACTCTCGATGTAGGGTTTGTTTTTGTTCCTTCGAGGATCATTTTGGAAGCAGAAAAACACCCCTGGTGACCTTTTTCGCCCTGATATTGTTCGTAGGGATTTGTCAAAGATTTAACTGGCAAAATTAGTTTGCGTTGTGCCGGCAAGATAATTTAATTGGTGTTACTGTTTCGCAATTGAGGGAAATTGTGGATGTAGTCCGTGGTCTCGACTACGAGATGGCAGGGCTGTGAGCAACGGAGCCCGTTGGCTTCGAACCAAAAATAACAAAGAGGAATGCCTGGTAGGGAGGCTCGAAATGGGAAAGGGGAGATAAGACGGCCTGGCAGCCAGGCAGGGAATTTATTTCCAGCGTCCTTGACAGAAAGGCAGGAGATGGACAAGAAAAAATAAATTAATATAATGCATTGAAAAATTGTGGGTCGTGTCGCCCAGGGCATTGATTTCCTTTTTAGCTATAGGTGGATTTGTTGTGCTCACAAAGATAAAAAAAATCTGGTTTGGAAATCCAGTAGAAACATCTAGCACACTCTAGAATTTTTTTTTGAAAACAAAATGTTTTGAATCGAGTTAAAATAAATTCAAAACTTGAGATTTAATTAAAATCTTAATTGTCTCAAAATAGAAAGCTTGTAAGTGATAAGAACAAAAACCAAGTCTACTGATGCTCACTGCGGGGGATGAGGTCTTTTTGATGTTGGAAGTTTTAGCAAAATTCTTGCCTTTGGATGTGCCGTTTCGTCCAGCAGTTCCTATTATATTTTTTATTTTTTTAAATAAGTTGCATTCAACAATTGAATGTTAACTGTAACAGTTAACAATGTGGACAAAAAACAACAATAATTTTAATAAATTTCTATCTTAACTTAAGTAATAACACAAACAAAACACTACTCTACACTAATTAGTACAGAAAAAACACACGCACACTAACAATTATCTGAGAATATCAGTAAGAGTTTAAAATATTATGTTTGATAATAATAGGCAATAATTTAAATCATTCAAATCACTTTTTGTTGGTTAGGATTTTAAAGTGGAATTTTGGTACAAAACTTCATACATATTTAGTTTAAAATTTAATAATAAGGTTGAAGAGAATATTAACATTTAAGAGGTTTTTACTCTTTTCAATTATTTGGCCTAGCCAAAAGTTAGTATAGTTCTATTTTACAATCTTTGCATGAGTCTGAATTGCAAAAATTGTCCCACATTCAGATAAGATAAGAGAAAAGAGGCAAAAGTTATTGTGAAACGCATCCTCTGGCAAATTCAACTAATCTTACAGAAAGAAAAATTAATTTAATCTGAAAATTTAAACTCCAACTCAAATTTTATTTTCTTCTGACTTAAAACTACAATTCAACTTCAACTAAGAAAATGATCATTGAAAGCAGTCTAGCCCGCTCGTACTATGAGCGTTTCCTCTTTAAACCGTGGTGCTTGCTTGCCGCAGCACTCGAAAGTTCCAACTCGAATTTTCCCAGCGTGCGACTGAATAAAATTGGTTTAAAAACCGTAGAGAGGCTCGTTGAAAGGAGCAAAATGAAAAAAAAGGCCAGTGCATTTGGCTCGGAAATGCAGAGCATTTTCATTTCCCAGCTCGTTTTTTGTTGCGAAATACAAAACAAGCTGGTTGGACGCCATGCTTTTTGCATTCAGCTCACTTAGTTACTTTGTTGTCGGCTAGAGAGAATGGGCGCAAAATTTCATGCGGATTGTGAATGTACAATACGTTTAGAAAAGCTATAAATAGTCACGTTTTAAAATTTTCTCTACTGCTGGGAATGCAAATAAACCTTGGAATTTGGCTACACGTGGCTCAAAGATAATTATGATATTTTGGAAATTTTTTTTCACAATTTTGTACATCAGAAAATAACAACCCGAATAAGATTGATGGTAATTTATCACTACATTAGCTTTGGTTTGTAGATTTCAGCTCCAAGGAGATTTGGAAAGAAAAATTAGAGTTATTTGAAAACTAAATTTTTTAAATTTAACATTGCTTCTTATGGGAATTTTCTAGAATAATTTTTTTCTCAAAATTCGCTAAATTGATACAAATTTCTCCAAATCACGTTCGTTTCACCCCAATTAAGATCAGTGGACATCAACAAAATTTACACTGATCTTAGGTTAAAATAAAAGGTTGAGAGGAATTGATTTCAGTGAAGATATTTCATAAACTTCCAACTTTTACAGAAAATACAGTTTGCAAAAAGATCTATTTCGTCTTAGAGTTGGCGAAACAAGTGGTAGTAAGTCTGGTCTAAATTATTTAGGAAAGCAATTGCAACTCTCGAGCTCGCCATTTTAGGACGAGGCTTAATTGAATTCGCTCTGAATTGAAGCCAGACATAAAGCAAAATGGTTCGAAAGTTACGACGCAAACGAAAGCGAAACAAAAGACAAATAAATAGCCCTTTGGTTGCGAATCATTCTTTCTTTTGTGCCGTCGCTCCCGCGAAATTATATTATATAATTTTTTTACTGCTGCCGCCGGACGGAAACTGGATTTTCCAGTTTCGCTCGAAAATCGTCCGTCCATTTAAGGAGGCGCATTTTTGCGCTCTTTAAAGTTGATATGAATGCGAGAGAGCGAAAGAAGCGAGTGAGGAAAAGGTCGGCGATTCATTTATAGGCGAACACTTGGCGCTGTTTATATTTCTATGTGTCTTGGCCTCATCAAACCAAGTTAGACTGGCAGTGCGGCTTTAATGTCTCTCGGGCCAGGGGGAACGCAGCGCGCACTTTTCAGGGGGTTCCAAATGATGGAGGGGGCATTGCTGTATTGATTTCTGTAAAAACTTCTCGTTTCACTCTGTGTTCATGGCGTCTCTCGCTCTCTGCCCAGGCCCGGCTTCGAATCGCAAACGCCCCGGCAACTTTGTGTTTCGCAAACACCGACGCAATTTTAGCTCGGAATTTTTAATTTCCTTGCCAGCCAAATTAACGAGCATTTCTCTTTGCAAAAAAACAACAAGAAGCCCCGCTCAACTCTTTTAATAAATACCAATTATGAGTTTAATCTCCTGTTTTCCTCTGCCCGCGATGCTCAGCGTGCATGATTTTAATTGAGGAAGGTTGTCTCCTTCGTCTCGCCCTTGCTGCGGAAACTTCACGTTTAATTAAAAGTCTTGTTTGAAATAAAAGGAATCAGGACCAGGTTTATTAAAAACGAAATGGATTTTTTTGCCTTAATAAACTAACATAAAAGAAATATTTATATAAATACTAGCAAGTTCTCTGACTAAATGAAATATTATTCAAATTTATTACTGCTCTTTTAAATTTGTTAAACATAATTGTAAAATATTTCACTTTTCACTCTTGGTTCTTACTCTTTGTTTTATTGCATTATAATTTAATTCCACTACTTCTCTGCTTCGTCTGGCTTTTTAATTCAATGTTTGAAACAGTTTGAAAGATTTTCAATAATCATGTTAAGAAAAGATTTAAAGGTACCTTTAAATTAATTTCATTTATACGGTTCAAACAAAATTATCAAGTATTCTTTGGCTGAATTGCTAGTAAAATTGAACAATTTAAATAACGGTTGTCTGAAAAGTATCCTTAGAAAATAATTATATATATTTTGAGACTTAAAAATTAGGGAGCAATTTGGGATTTTAAGAAGCTTTAGCATAACAATCCAATTAAAGATAAAAAAAATATATTTTCTTTTCACCAGGCACCAGGCCTGTTTGTTTGCCAAAAGTTAGGAATAAATCAATAGAATAAGAAAAATTTGCCTTCAAATCAATTTTTAATTTTTTAAATTCGTTTACATTGAAAGCGGCAGAAAAAGGATTCAAACTTTGAAATATCTTAATCAATTTAATGCAAATACTAATATTTTAAGTAATTTTTATATTAATAAACTGCTAAATAAAATTTTCCTCTGTTTCTACTCTACCTGAAGCAGAAACAATTTAAATTTTCATTTACACGTAAAATCCTTGAATGAAGCTCTAAAATTCCACTCCACCATTTCATAACTAAATGCAAAGTCTGCAACTGCACAAAGTTTATTTTTCAGTGTCCCTTCTCCGCACCAGCTGAAGCGAAATTCAGTGAGCCGAGTTTCGAAAAGTATCATCGTCGGTGGTGCATTTAATAATTTGTGGGCACCGGCGATGTTGTTGTTAGTCTGTGGGACGAATATATCCACGCATAGTTCATGCTTGGTTGGTTTGCTTCTCACAGACCAACGGCACAGAAATTCAGAAAAGAAGGCGACCGCAAAAAGTAGTCGCCGCTGCCGATTAAAAACGCAGCCCAACTGCTTTTTCGACCAACCTGCTCGTTTTTAATTTAAATATACATATGCGGACGCCTTTGCAGGTGAACTTGCTGCTGATTGAATTTCAAATGCGATTTAAATTTCCCTCCGGCTGAAATTTCCACTGCCTATTTCACGCGCCCAAGGTAACGAACGAGTCCTCCATCTTCGGAAGACGATTTTCATTCAAATCCGTGGAAAAAGTGACCTATTTTATGCAGGCTCGCGTTTCAATTATACATGCCCCTTTCATACACACGTCTTTGCAGATCGGGTTGCCTCTTGGGGAGTACATAGAAGTACGGACTGATTTCATTTTTTTTGTCAGCCAACTGGGAAATATAATTTCATCTTCTGCGAAGAGTTCTGAGAAATGCTCCATGGTCCTCGGATGTTATTTCAAAGACGTAATAAAATGGCGTATTAGTTCAACAATGAGAGAGCACAGCTTTTTTCATTGCTTATCTCTCAGCATGATTTTTTCTTTACCTGCAATATCAATTTAATTTATGATATTTCAAATTTAAAAAAAAAATAATTCCTCCAGCCCTCAGAAAGCATTTCTATGCAGAATTAAAGAATTATCTTAAAAAATGATTAAGATATAATACATCTCATTCCATTCAATTCTGTTCATATTTTAACAAATAGTAATATTTTCTGAAGTTTTTAATCGGAAATAGCAAATAGGTATTTTGAATCTTAATAATTGTTAAGAATCAACTCAAGCTGAATCATACTTGAGCTTTCACAATATAATATAAAAAATATAATACGGAGAAAATATAATTTTCACAAATTGTTTATTATTTTTTCAAATTATTTTTTCTTACCAGCATTCTTTTATCTTCTTTTGTGTTCTCCCTTTTTCCGGTGGAACTGCTTAACGATTGAATAAAAATAAAGTTTGTAATTATTTACTTATATTGAGATTTTTTGTCAGCCAGTGTTAATAATCATGATTTCTACTTTCATTTTTTTATTATTATTTCTGGCCCAGTCAGGAACACGCTGGAAAGATAAATTGTAAGTTCTCTCCTCTCGAGCATTCACCAGCGAAACGTCGAGCAAGACAGTGCAAGGTCAGGTGGGCTTGGCTCGCTCATAATACCTCGCTGTTGTGTGTCACGTCGAGAAGTGTTATGAGGGAATTCTGAAATGCCTGCCTCATGTAAAACGATGACTTTGAACCCATCCTAAACCAATAAAAAAACAGACCCGGCCGATTTTCGGCGCAAAAGCAAAATAATAATAATTTCATCCTTTGTGTTAATTCTTTTTTCAGCCAACACAAACAACCCTTCGTCGAGTCCGCCCCCGGTCCTGTCTCCGAGCGGAGGCGGCAGGGCCCGCATCAGAAACGAAAGGGGTGAGACGCAGCTCCACTTGGCCGCCATCAAGGGCGATATTGCTCAAACAAAAAGGCTGCTGGCTCGAGGATCGGACCCCAACATCGCCGACTTTGCTGGTGAGTACCCTTCTGGTGTTCTGCGAGACCGGAAACGTATTTTGTTCGCGCAAAGTGCGGTCTGCTCGGCCTGAAATACTTGAGAAAGAAGGAAATTTAAATTATGGTAAAAGTCTGGAAAACTTGTTTAAGAGTGTTGAAATGTAAAGACAAATAAATAATAAACATATAAAAACATAGTAAGTCAAATTAATTAAGAATTATCAGTTATTGTTGAAAATATAATATTTTAGTTAAAAATTTAATTATCAAAATTCAAAATAAATCAACCGGATATTCTCTCTAACTCTCCTAAGCAGAAATTTAAGATAAAATTTTGTTTAAATTATGTATACAGAATTCTGCATTCACATTTTTAAGCTTTTTATATTTGAGGAAAAAAAATTTGTAACAGTTCTATTTGAAAATAAAATAATTTTGCTGGTTAGGAATCAAAATGGTGGTAAATAAATAAAATTAATATAAAATTTGAACCATAAATTGAAGTTCCCTAATTACGATTTAAAGTTTTGATTTTGTTAATAAAGACCAGAAATTTTCTTGCCATTATCTCAATCTTTTAAAGATTGAACCACTGTGAGAAATACCAGATGTGGAATCATAGACACGCTCAAAGTTGCGCGTCGGGATCGCATCTTTCTTGCGGCGGCCGTGAATTTGCGCGTAGCCTTGATTTGATGAGCCGAGCGAGCGTTTTTGCACGCGGCAAAAAGTGCGCAGTTTACAACAGCAGGTATGCAGCTAGAATGACGCGACTATTTTTACGCTATCGTGGCTCAACAACCCCGTCGCATGTACACTGCAAAGAAGTAGGTCTTGGCGCTATTTTTACGGCCGCAGACAGACTTTCACGCATCTGCCTCCGCTGCTTGCACAGACCACTATTTTTTTGAATGGTTATTTTTTCCCTCGTCTTCATCATCATCATCCCCCGGCCCGAAACGCGCCATCAAGCAAAAGCAGCTCGCAAAGAAATAGTGTGTATGAGAAAAACGCGCGCGGTCAGAAAGAGAGCATTATCCACACCCTCGGTTCTTTGCTGCTGCTGCTTGTAAATAGAATTTTTCTTTCCAAGCACAGAGGCCCCTGATTTTTCCCCAAGGGGCATGTTTTTGTATGCGAGCTTCTTGTGACCCATTTCGATTGGGAATTGGCGTTTCAAAAGTAATGCTTCTCAAAGGCAGGCCTGTCGAAAATGTCTACAAATAAGTTTGAAAAAATCTCAGAATTATTAATTAAAGATTTATTTTTTTTAAAACCTTAGAAATTAAATTTAAAACTTTTTTATTATGAAGATTAAAAGATAAAGATAAGATAACAGAATTCCTGGATTATAAAGGTTTTCGTGGACAATCAAAACGGGGGGAAAATCAAGTCGGCTCAAATTTTCTAGTAATTTTTTCTAAAACATGCACAAATTTAATTTTAATCGATTGGAAATTGAATAATCTTTGATACTTATAAAAAATTGACTCCTAATAGAAAATGTTTGAGCTAAAATTATTAAATTAATTTTTTGTTTTCAACTTTTTTAATTTGGAAATAATTCTGATTAAAAACGCTCAAAATAGAATTCTCACCATTCAGAAATTAGTAGTTTTACTGATATCGAGTTAATCACGCTAGCTGAAAATCGGGAAAGAGTATAAATTTTAATATCAAACAAAAATTTTCTTACAAGGTTTGATTTATTTTAAATTTATATTGTTAAAATTTTTTTTAAACTTGACTTTGTTGACAATTGGTGAGCAAGAAGAGCAGAAAGAGTTTTATGAAACGCAACTCCTTTCAATGATGGCACAACAGCTGCCTTGTGTCTCTCGTTTATTAGTCAAGTAGAGACTTCCTGTGTATGTGTGGTGCTTGCTTGCTTGCATGCTCAAGACTGCTGGCTGGCTGGGAAAACTACGAATTCTCTTTGCCACTGTATTTATTCTGCCACAGTTTTCTATTTCTTAGACTCTTTCCCGAGAAGGTCTTTTTTCGTCCCCCAGTCAAACGCTCGGACGTCGAGATAAAAATAATAATATCGGCCGATAAATCAATTTCCATATGCAACAACAGGTTCCGTGACGTCATTCACCGTGCAAAGTTGAAAATATTATTCTGAGCCGGCCTCTTGGAGCTGCCTGTTTTCCTAGAAGCGTTAGGCAGGCAGGGTCGTTTTCGTTATTTCCAGCTGGGTGCGTGAAAGAAAGATAGGAAATTTTCGCCGCTGCTTTACAATTTTTGCTCTTTTTGAGAAAGAAGAACCATTGATAAATTTCACGCTTTTTTAACAAAAGCTGGGCCACCCTTTATTGAACGCCAAAATGGCGCTGGAATATAAAGTAGAATTGTATTTAATATATGAAATTGGCAATTTATTATTAAATTTTTTATCGGACACAAAGGACTTTTCCTTTTCAGACCTTCTGAATCACATTTGAGCTCGAAAGTGATCGATCCGTGTCGTTGGAAATCTAATTTGACAAAGTTTTGCATTCGCCCGAAAATAAACTGCGCACTTGAATGATTCGGTTGCTGGGCGCGTTCATTGTATTCAAGTGACTTACTTAGTTGCTCCGAAGCTGTTGTCATGTGCGACGGGAACGTGAATCGCGCGCCGACGTCAATGCTTGCTTATGTAACGGAAAGTGAATCAAATTAAATAAAAGCAGCGGAGGAGGAGATTGATCGGTGTTACTTTTTCAGTATTTATTTGATTCATCGATTCGGCGTTTTATTTTTTAATAAATATCAAAATGAAGACTCACTCCGTGTTGTTTACACGCCAGACTTGTGCAAACATTTATGTGGTGTGTCGATTATCGCGGCTTATTATCGTCACTTAGCCGCTGATTTGCACTATTTCCATCGGCGTCGGCATCTCGCGCTGGCCACGTGCGGATGCTGGCCTGCGTTTTTCGCTTTCAGACTCTGTTCGCTGCTACGTTCTGATGAAATCTTAATGGAAGATAAGAAGATGGCTGCAATAATTAGGCTGTGCTTGCTCTTCAAGAAGCTTCTCTCTGCTGGGAACGCTAATGCTCCCGGATTGCAGTCTCATGTTGCTCCATAATGCTCTTCAAGTGCAGGAACAGCCCCGCACCGAGCAGGGGATTTCGAGCGAGCTGTGTAAATTTTTCAGAAGGTCTTTTGAAGGACAACGGGAAGGAAAAACTTTCAAAATTCAATAATTAAATAATTTAAAATTTGGCCACAAACCTTTCACGTCTATCAAGAAATTAAAAAAGCTGTAAAAATTATGCTTCGCTTGAAAATATCACAAAACGCCAATCTGAATATTCAAATTTTTGTGAAAATCAAGATATTTCAACCGAATCATTTAATATCAAAACGTAATTTAAGACTTCGTAAACAATGATATAACCAAATAACAATGAATGAAATTATAAGGGTCCATAATTATTAATTGTGAAAGTAGACATATGTAAAATTTGGAAAAACAAATTTGGATATCAAAAAGCTCTTTAATATAAATTTTCACGTTATCAAACTTTAGCAACTTTTATCACATTCAAATTTAAGCATTAATTTTCCTTACAGACTCCATTAAATATGCTTCAAAATTATGACAGAATTTATTACAAACATCTTTTGATATTTGAAACAAAAATCCGCTAATGACCACGCTTTGAAAATTGAGCCTTCAATTGATTCGCTGAATGACGCCCAAATTAAAAGGAAAGATTTGCGAAGTTGGCTCTGCCAAATGGCAATTTTCTTTCTCTCTTTCCTTGTGCACGCATCGAGCAAACAGGGCGGCGTGGAATGTTATCTCTCTTTCGCGTCCAAAGAAAGAAAGGTTTCTCGTTCAGCGGGGAACGAACGAGAAACGATCGAACGAGAAGAGCGACGGCGGCCGAGGGAAAAGAGAGGAGCTGCACTCCTGAATGTAATGGGACTTGATTCAAAATTAATGCCATCTTTATGCCGTAATGAAATCTTTATTACTATGCGCCAACGAGCAGTTCCACGGAAAAATGCTGCAGCCGGGCCCGCCCGCCCGTCCCTGGGCATTTGCATGCCAAATTTGCAATCTAGCAACGCTCGTGCGCCGCGTAATTGGCTTTGTAATTGCGACCCCAAAAAGTAGAAGAGGCTTATAAATAATCAAATTATAAAGAGGGGGAAGCGATCGGTGCATGAAAAAAATCGAGTTTTAATTTATTCGTTGTTGGACTGATTGAGCAATAATTTTTCAATTATTCTGAAATTGCGTCGGTTCTCGCAGCGTCTCAATTTGATTCCTGCTGGCAAGACGAGTTTTCCTGGTGACGGAGTTGGGTTTAGCACGGCTGATTTCCGAGAAGCAGTTTCGCCATTAATCTTTTAAGCCGAAACGCTGCGTCGTATATATAAATGTTGAGTTTCGGATTAAAGTGAAAAGGAAAGCTCCAAAATGTCTCATGAGCAGTTTTAATATGCAAATCCAACGTAGTTTGAAATAATTATACTAATTAGCTGCAATTAAATTTGAAATTTCAAAGTGATTTCATGGCAAATCTAATTGCCCAGCACGTTCTTGGCATTATAAACAAAGTTTTTGGAGAAATGATTGAATTTCATTTAATTGGAATATGGGAATTTCCAAATTAATTTATATAAGACTTTGAAGTTAAAGCAATTAGTTTTTGCTTGATTAATGATTTCAAATTAACTGAAATTTGGCAAAATTAGCTAGAATTGAACACAATTATAAAATTAGAAAAAAAGTGCCGCTTTTTTCTACGTGAGTGACCTAGAAGGAAAATTTTTCAGTTGAGGCCAGGCTGTTTGTCGTCATTATGGCACCGCGTGATAAGTTCACTGGTTGCAACGGCTCTGGTTTCCGCCGCCGCGTTTAGCGCCTGGCACAAAATTCGTTGTTTTTTCCTTGGCCGCGCATAGTTTAACTCTTCTTTCTCGCACGGCTCCGATGCACATGCATGCATGTATGTGTGTTTTCTTTCTTCTTTTCTCCACTCTGACAACGTTCTGCTGCTTCCTCCGAGCAA